GTAAAGGAGGTGCAAATTGATTCAGATGAGCATTTTCAGTCTACTGATCATGCTACTTCTCCAGAGCTTGATCGTGCAAAAGAGCCAGCTGAATCCACCATTTCCATCGACTATGCACCAGAATTTGCGCAAAATATGTACCGGTCAGAAGAAACTGTTCAATCTTTGCCCCGGACTCAGAACCCATTTAGCATCCCCAATGGTATGACGATGGATAATTCTAGAATAAGTGAAGAAATTGTGTCAGTTCCGTTGGATGACATTCAAGTTCAGGAGGTGGAACCTCAGAGAACAGAGGAAGATACAGCGGTTCCTATTTCTGATGCCCCGTTGATCGGTGCTCCGATCCGATTGATTTCTTTCTTTGCAAAGTATGTCAGTGGTGCTGATTTGGTGGAGCGAGATGGAGGTAGATCAGGTTGATTGTAGCTTTTTAGGAGTTGAGCTGTGGAGAGATGATTATTTACTTGTTCAATTTAAGTTTTGAAATAACTTTTTATTGTCTTTATTTGATAGTTTTTACAGTTGATTTTGCAACATTGACGAGTTATCATTTTGTCTGAACATCATACATATAATACTGTAGCACATAATATATGAACAATGACTTTGCATGTGATAGTATTGTTAGTGGAGTAGAACTATTTTTAATTTAGTGTGTCCATCGTGCACCAGTTTGTTTCCTCATGAAGCGGTCGGGTGCTGTCCATGCTCAACTTTATTAATGTCTCCGATTCCTTCTCTTTCAGCTGGCATGTATTTACATCTTTTTGTTGCAAGAAATTAAATCAGCAGCACCGCTAAACACATAAAAAAACGTTACGAGCCAAATTTTGCTTTCATTATCAAGTTGGAATTATTCTCTTGAGTCAATAAACTTACTAACAAGCAAGTTAAAAAGTGAGTTGAGATGATCAAAATATTACTTTCTCGGATGAGAGATGTTTTTAAGTCTAATTTCTCGAGCAATGCCTAGTAAGGCATGGGTACCTAACAAATATATACTCTACATACCCTTCTTACAAATAATAATAATAATGATGGAGATGATCAAGAACATACAGCAAGCAGAGCTTTAAACTGAATTCTTAGCTCTTCATTGTGCAAACAAAGGCCACAAGATTTATTCAAGAAAAATCTAAGATAAGAACACATACGGACAGTCCGTGATAGCAATGGGCATAACCATCCATGTACAGATCACATCTTTCATCAAGTGAATCTAGTCTACACTTGTCGTTCACAACCTTACAGAAACTAATGCATGACACAAGTTTTTACAACAAAGATGAAATCTTACTCAAATAACACGACGCCATGAACCAATATCAGGTAACCAAGAGCCCATCATTTTTTACTGGGGGTAAGTTGCACGTAATCCCCTTTATCTATACCTTCGGTTGCACCTAACACCCCTCAACTCATTTGCTAGCACATAGCACCCCTAGATTGCCATTTCCACTTCGCATAATTTCCACTTCCAAACCTTTACCCCTCCGAACTCGACCTCCCAATTTCCTCAATCACCCTCGCCACCTCCTCCATCCCTGGCCTCTCCTCCGGCACTCTACAGACACAGGCCAACCCGAGCCGCAACATCTGAACCATCTCCTCCTCGACGTTTTTATGCCTCACCAACTCCGCATCAAACACTTCAGAAGTCCACTCCTCTCGAACCACTGAGTGCACCCATCTTGGTAAATCCACGACTTCATCAGGAGATTTCCTAGTGAGAGTCTCAAGTAGAACTACTCCGAAACTGTACACATCGGATTTTACGTTGCATTTTCTGCTCATGATGGACTCCGGAGCTCGGTATCCTAGCGAAAGCTTTGACGTTGTGGACGAAGGGGTCATGAGGGGAGTTAGGCCGTGGTCAGAGATGATGATGGAGTGATGATCTCGAGTTAGGAGGATGTTGGAGGGTTTTATGTTTCCGTGAATGAGTTTGCCGAGAGGTTTGGAGTGGATATGACATATTGCTTTTGCGGCGTCGAGTAGGATTTTCACTCTGGAGTCCCAATCTAATGGTGTTTTTCCGGTGCCACCGTGGTTTCCTGTTGATGCATAAAATGATACACAAAATGAGTTTCTGAAGGATTATGCTGAGTATGTAACATGTTTTGTATACAATTCGGTTGAAATTACTCATTGGCGGATGAAATAAGTTAGCTATCTTACAAACTCAATTCCGGTTGTACTTTGATCGTACCATATGCAAATCGCCGAAAACTAGAACCTACTGATTTTTGGAACAAAGAGACTATAATATCAAAAGCTGATTGCAGCATTACTTATCAATGGTCCATTGGTCTAGTAATAACCATCCCCTCATAGTTGCAGGGGTTTCAAAAGCTTATATACTATTAGATTATTTATAACCATCGACCCTCACCCAAACTTCCAAGTTTCAGTGTAGCGGAGGAGACTTCGAATTGGTACTAGAGCAATGTAGATTCAGATCCCATTGGACACACATTTAAAGCTAATTTTAAAAAAAAGTAACCACGGTAGGAAATAGCCAGGTCTCAACCTGAGGGATCATGTTACATCGTAAAATTATAATTATAACCATCAATTCTTATTACAACTTAATTCTTCTGTATTGGAAGAGGCTTTAAGATAGCTCGTTAAGATCCCTCTCCAGCGGTGTCATGGCATGAGCCCCTGTGTGGTGCTTCCATTTCTCTTCTTAGAACCATAGACCGAATTTGATATTTCCAAAATTTCATAAAGCTTCTCATGCTTAACTTATGCACTGATTTGATTAAACAAATAGTACTTGAATATATAACAAAAACATATAAATTTAACAAGGAAATGTGAGAATAAAGAGACATACCATGCAAGAGGGTATACAAACTGCCTCCAGAGACATAATCATATACCAAAAGCTTCTCATCTTTGGAATAATAGTATGCACGAATAGGCAAAATATGCGCATGATTCCCAACTCTTTCGATCATTTTCATCTGCTGTTCAAACTCTTTTTTCCCCGCCGCCACCTCCTTCAATCTCTTCACAACCACCACACATCCATCATCAAGAACAGCCTTATATGCTGTGCCATAACTCCCCTTACCAAGAACTTCAGCTGAAGCTCTCAATAAATCCTCAAGATTGAAAGTATATGAACATCCATCAAAGAAAATTAATTTATTCTTCTTGGCCATTGGAACTCCACTGCTATGCTCCTCTTTAGGTCTCTCGTTATTTCCACTGCCTAAACCATTTGCCTTCGAGGCTACACTTTCTTTCCCTTCCTTTTTCTTCATAAAACATAGCACGAGAACGATTATGACTAGCAAGAACAAGGCGATTACGCTGGCAACAATTACAATTATGCCACCCGCAGATAGCTTCTTTTTATAACTCTCTTCACTACTCTGGGGAAATATGGGCAGAGGTGATGAGGGAGAAGGAAGAACTGCAGAGCACTGAGGTAGAGGAGGGCCACATAACTGAATGTTCCCTGTAAATGAATCGTTACTGAAGTTTTGGAGGGAAAAGGGTATGGAACCGTTAAGATTGTTGTGACTAAGATTTAAACGCCTCAGTGTTGGAAGTTTGAGGTCAGGGATTGGTCCAGAGAGAGAATTGTTTTGAAGATTCAATACAACAAGTTGAGAAAGATTTTGAATTGCCAAGGGCATTTCTCCTGAAAATGAGTTATATGAAAGGTCGAGTGAGATGAGGCCTAAAGAGAGTGAACTTGGTATGTCCCCACTAAAAGCATTTTGTTGGAGATAGAGAAAATGAAGAGAATGAAGTGATAAGATATCGACGGGGAGATTTCCAATGAGACGGTTTGATCGTAGGCTTAAGACTTGCAGGTGATTGAGCTTGCCGAGAGTATTTGGTGGAATTTCTCCATAAAGCCCGATACCGGGTAGCCTAATGGAGAGAACGTGGGTTTGATCTCTAGTACAATTAACTCCAATCCAAGAAGAACAAATTGGGGTATTTGGTTTCCAATTGAGTCTTGGACCATGATGCAATGAATTGGCAAATGAAAGGAGGGCTTGCTTCTCAGAGCTCAGGTCAGAAGTGGATGGAGATGGTAGGCACAATAGGAGGATAAGAAAGATTGAAGGTGATGCAAGAGAAATGAATTTGAGTTTGAGGTGAACCATGGTTAGATTTCAGAGCAGATAAAAACTCCAAAAAAATCTGAATGTTTTTATCCACAGATCCTCAGCTCCTACTGCATTGATCAAAAGGACAAGAAGTAAGTGGATGGTATAAGCAATAATACTAAAGATAACTGAAAGTATACAAGTCTAAAGAAATGAAGAGAGATTGGCTATAGAAAAGAAAAATTCAAAAGAGGATAAAAAGCTAAAAAGAACTAGCATAAAACTTTTCTCACTGGAAAAATTTGTCATTAGAACAAAGGAAGACTAATGACAAAGGAAGACAATCTGAAAAGATTTAGGCATCTCTAATTAGTGAAAAATAGTAGTCCTTGGTTATATCAGCACACTTAAAAGGCCACAAAGACGAGAAAGTATCTAGTGGGAAGGGCCAATGACGTTAAATGTGCATCCAAAGGATGTCAATTAAGTTGTGAACCTTTGGATCCGTACATGAATTCCAAAATCCAACGATCCCAGGGCTAACATTCATTCCGTGCACACTTAATGTTGTGGACTAGGGTACACTTCATACTTTACCCATAAAAACTATAATCTTGATGAATGAACATTGATTATATTAGAGCTTGGAAGGTCAAGCAACAACTGAGAAAGATAAAGGCAATCCTGAAGAAGCCATTAATTTTTGCCAGAATATCATTATGGTTTTGATACCTAAAGGACAAGTGAGGCATTTAGGAAGGGCGACAATAAATGAAGGAGAAATCAAAGCCATTCAATTTTATAAACAAATAGCATCATTATGATACGAACTTAGTGAAAATTAATCATTGATCAAAGCCTAAAAGTTCTCTGAGAAAAGGAAAGAGATCAAGGGCCCATGCATCTGAGCCTTTTGCAAAGAGAGCTCTCACTTCAACATTATCCGACATTTTATACAGAAGTGGGAGCTTCAGATAAATTAATACAAAAAGACCTATTGAAGAAACAAAAGAAAAAATGGAATCATATACTCCCTCCACTAAAGAAAGGATGATGAGTAAAGGTGAGGAGGCTTCATAATAGAAGATGGTGAGCTAGCATGCACATAATCGTGCACTTTAGAACCCTATCATACAAATATAGAATCAAATTTTAGAGAGATTAAATAGTACAAGAGGCTGAAATTTCGAGCCGTAATTTCACATAGGAAAAACCAGGATACACTTGAGAACTAAAAGATCGATCTACGATAAAATAAGTCCAGAGCATTTGCAAATTGATGTTAATATACCCAAAAAAAAAAAGAATTCGTTACTAATAAATGACATTTAAAAACACTTAAATTACAACAAAATGCCATAATAACAGCCCGGGAACAGGATCATACCAAACTCATGAAGCAAAACAAAGTAAAATTTTCTGAAATGAATCCTCAATATGATCCTTATGAGGCTAATACATCTAGGATATCATCCTTCAATGAAATCACTATTTTGCCTTTAACATATCTTTGAACGCTCAAGTGAGTATTAACTTACCTATAATCAAGCTGGAACTACCCCAAAAAATGCTATAACTCACAAAATTGCACCAAATATTACAGTTAAAAGTACTTCTTAGTTCCTTTCCCAAACAAAAAAATATCCAAAAAATTCCCCCAAAAAAAAATCCAAAAATTATGTGTTAAATTTCTTTGTGTTAGAACTCTATAAAAACAACTCAAAGATGGAATTATACTAAGTTCATGGAACTACATTCCAAATCCAATAGTATTTCTTTAATCCAAGCTGGAATTAGAGCTCAAAGAAATGACATTAAGAGAAAAACAAAACCCATATAAAAAATTCCCACTCAAAAGTCTTCCCAGTAGCTGCATTACACTAAAACTTAACAAAAACATTTAAAGCTCCCTATTTTAAGCAAAATACAGTAGGATTCCAAATATCCATCAAAATTCGCGCAAATTCTCACGTTAAAAACCGAAGCACGCCCTTAAAAATCCAATTTTCAGAGCTTTAACCCTCACGATTAATGCTAAAACTGAAGTCTTGGAAGAAAATTACCCATGCTGGAAATTTCAGCACTCTTGACGAGGAAATTGCCATTGATAGAACTCCACTTGTTAGGAAATCTCTCTCTCGCGCATGCACTCAAGAGTGAAGATGTGGAGCGTATTTAAGAATTAGCGAACGCAAATAACCTGAATTTGTGGGGAAATTTACGAGATTGACATTATCCTAGATAGTTGGTACTTGTAACTGTTAGCATTTCTTAAGGAAAAGGCAATTTTGCCTTGTGAATAGTCCCACATTGGAAGTTGAGAATCATTTCTATTCTCATCCACTAAGACCCAAACAGGACGACATCAGTGCAAATCCATTGCTTCTTTGGCATGAGCTTGGACTCCCACCATCACAAGAAAGGTAAAGAAGCTCTTCTGGACCAAAAATCACTTCATGATTGAATGTTAATACCATGTGCAATGTTGCCGCTCTTTGCTTCTTCGAAGGCTCAATGTCAACAAGGTGTGGGAAGAACAACATAAGATTGAGCCCGGAAGGAATTTCATAAGTGAGTGAGGAGAATGAAGGAAATAGTTATCACTGGGTTCCTTCAGGATTTCTGAACGATTTAGCATTTGCCAAAAGAGGAAAGATCATATTTTGCAAAAGAAAGACTGCATCGTCAATAAGGCATTTACAATTTGTGTAAGTTTGGTAGGGAGTCTTGGTTGGACTCTATGAAACATCATACACCAGATTTCAGAGTTAATGACTAAAAATCTATTAACATTGGCCTATCTAGTGGCATATCCAACTTGAAGCACGCATCCAATAGTTTGGAACCAATTTTCCGTCTTCTTAGGTTCGGGAATAGGCTATCTACCTTTAGCCAGCAAACCCGCACCAAACTGATTCGGAGAGGAAGTTCACAGTTATATTTCTCATATATATGAGATGAATATCTCCGCTTATTTATATCATACCAAATTCATAAGTAGAGTTGTATTGGTAATTTTCTTTGGGGAATCTATTGGGAAGCAAGTAGAGAGACAAGGGCAAGGAGGAGGGAAGGGAAGAAGAGCTTTCACCCCCAGAGAGTTTTCAAGAGTGCTCCTGAACTCAGATAAGCTCATAAACAGCTTTCACCCAATGTCCATTTGTCAAAAGCGGTCTGTTTTTTCCGTTCAGGTTTAAGTGGACTGAGTGGCGCTCGGCTACCTCCACTAAAGTCTCTTGATTAGACTTTTTGTGCGTGGTATTAGAGTAGGGACAGTAACCCTCGTGAATAATACTGCGTGAATTCTATTCTTATATAAGGAGGACAAACATTTGCATCAAAAGTCAAATAGAAGTATAATTCATTGAGGGTTTTATACTCCCGTTATTACACTCCCAAGATCACAGGATCGTATATGAGGGATGAAAATTATGATCTTACCAAGACTATATAGTTGGAGGCAATTTCTAATAGAATCTCCACGCTTTAATCTATCGACCCTTAAACACCTATCTATAGATTACATCTTCAGTTTGCGAAGATGGTGTAACAATATCTGGGAGTGGATCGTCTATCAAAGTCACAAAATATCTCCTACCCGTCCCCACCCGTTTTTTAGGTCCGCGATGGAGAACTCCGGGAGATTCTAGAGAATCAAAACGACCAAAAAGCAACGTACGAATTAATTCGAGGCTCAGGAACTTTACAGAATGTATATCTTAAGTGTTCATAAAGATTAAATCACATAGAGAGACGATGAAGGGGTCTTTTGTTGTGTTTTCGCTGAGAACAGACAATCTCACCTTGATGAGATGATTTAGGAATAAGATTAAAGTTGATCATTTTACTGGTAAAGTTGAAAATATAACGTTTCATGGGTCCAAAGATAGATTGACGATCCATGGCCAGATCATCAAGCTGACATAGTATGCCATACCACAATTCTGAATAAAACTCTATGTGAGTCTTATCTTAGAATTTAATTTGAGAACGTGGAAGTATGAGATTAATTAGAAGTATAGAAGGAATAAAGAAGACAGAAGGTTTTACCAAGGATAATATAGCGCTATTTTAGTCCTCGCTCTAATACAATATTGACTCTTTGTAATCACATAAATCTGTTGGGATTCTTTTACATCGCTATAACTCAGTTCTACCTCCAAGAAGAAGAGTATATCTACATATCAAATTTCCAAAACCGAAGGAAAGTCGTAAGACGCGCAACAAAAGCGTAGACAGCCCTGTGCAGGATGGTAGAGCTTTTCCATCGAAGTATATCATCAGTGAGGGTCCTCGTACTAATTACTCCTTCCACTTGTCCTATTCATTGCGGTTTAGTGAGTCCCATCTGCTTCAAGCTTTATGCCTTCCTCTCACGGTGATTCCTGATAATTTGAAAACCAAGAGGCGTCATTACAGACGTGTATATTGTGCTACGTCATTCTGCTTCGGGCCTTCCACCCGGAATCCAGATAAAGAGAACACCGAAAATCGAATGAGTATTTTTTCTTTCGCTTATATCATTTTCAGATGACATAGTAAGATATAGTATTGCATTCATGTAATTTTAAAGTATTAATTCATATTGTAGCATGTTGACTCATCTTTTTGTGCATATGAGTTTATTATAATTAGGGATATTTAGTAATGGTTTCTGGATAGTGGCGACCTGGTTCATCGGCTATCTAAAACCTTTCCACAGAGGTTTGCGATATCGTCTATCTTCAATCACGACTTAACTTTATTTGAATCCATTTCCTTTAGGGTCTTTGAGGCATTTATGTTTTAATTTGTTCTGTGTTTTCAGATTTAAATATTGAACCTTTGCATATTAGATTCTTAGTCGATAAGTAAAACAATATAGGAATGTATAATGTTTGGAATGTATAGGTTTCTCATAGACCATTGCACAGACAAAAGGCAGAATAATCAGTTTTCAGCATCAGCTTTCCGTCTTATTTTTTTCCTTTATTCAATGACTAGATTTATTAGGGGCGATGTTAGGGTATATAGGGATATTTGGAATTGTAGAAGAAAGTTAAGCATTAAATTATGAAGACTGGGGATATAGAGGTAACTTATATTTTTGAAAGATTGTTTTGGGTCTTTTTTTTTTCTCTTAGATCACGGAAAAATGTCTCTTATTATCTACTCATTTGGTTTTGAGGGACACTAATATTTTATTTTAATGAGATATGATTTTTAAATGTGGCTGTTTTTATTACTCCATTTTCAATATTAGAAAAGAGAGAGAATCCTCAGCAAGTAGACCATTAAATGATTCATATCCATATTAACTATAGTTTTTGATTCATTGCTTGTTTTGGAATTTTAGCCTTCTCGGTCTTGCAATCACGAATGGACTTGAGGGAACCCTGTTGACAGTCTAGTTAGTGTAGAGTAATAGCTATCACTGTGAGCTTGTTGTTTGAGGTCCGGGATATACTCAACAGCAAAAATTTCTTGCATGAGAGCATGACCAGGATAGGGGAGCGGTTTAACGGACTAGTTTATATGTGTCAAATACCTAAATTAAAATAGGCGGATTAGATAAATTTTATTTTATTTTAAACAAAAACGGTTCATTACAATCGATTGCCAGATAAAAAGCTTTGTCTTTTTCTTTTGTGCCAACTATGAGAAGCAATAAAAAGAGTGAGGCACCAAGTACAAGTGAGAAAATATCGCTAAAAAATAAATTATATCATGAACATTGTTCATAGCTAATAGGGGAGGCGTCTATGTCATCGTAGAGACTCCATGTTACAATCACCATTCAGATATCGCAAGGAAAAACCCTTACACTTAACACAATAAAAAAGTAAGACATATTGAGAAAACCGAAAAGCCAGGTGTAAACGCAGAATTCCGGGAATCAATCAAATAACATATTCGGGGCTTCAAGGAGCACTGCCATAGGGTCGTTTTTGCACTTTTTGAACTCCATAGTATATGTCCATAAAGATCTGTCTGGCAAGTGCACTGCCAGTAATTCACTCATGAAAATTATCAAAACACAGATAATAATACTCATTTTGGTTTCATAATTAGAGCTAGATAAAGAGCTAGCAGCTGAACCAGAAGTGGAAGGCAAGTCAGATCTTCGATTTCAGTTATAATATGATCAGTGACGTCAAATAAGGTTGAGCCTACCACAAATTTAAGGAAGCACATGGCACTCTCAGGAATGTCAAGGCGGTGATGTTTGCAAATGAGGACTACCGCCTTACTAAAAGACTATGGGAAGGCTAAAACGAGCCAATATCTCATTCTGATTTAAGCCCACCGTTTATAGTTGCATACATATACGGCGATCGAACGCCTGCATTTTTTCTTTGTACTTAATTTGTATTGTTGGAGTAGCAGTATGGTTGAGACTCTTCTCACAAGTGGTTTGTATTAAGCGACTTGCCTATTATTCTTGAAATTTGATCGAAGTAATCTATGACCGGTTATCACATTAAGGGTCCAATTTTGAGTTTTTATATTCTAAAGCCTAAATTTGTTTTGGTTAGTTTTTGGAGTTTTTATGGCAATGAATACACACAGATTCTTATGGTGTCAAAACTAAGTCGCTATCTTATTGGAGCTCTCTCTAGCGATAGGGTTTTAAATTTTTAATTAAACCTACCTTAATATTTAAAAAAGAAAAGATTCATACAAAACTTCTCAAAAGTAAAAAATAATCACACATAAAAGATTTAAGTAAGTCTGATGGCAGGGAGTTGTAATAAAGAGGTAGGTTGGTTAGCCAGAGGGTATAATGGATTATGAAGGGCATAAGAAGAGGGAGGGAGTGAATATCAATATTGAAGAGAGATGAGGCACATATGAATTTAATAGGTATAGCGACGCTTTGGTTGAGGGGTTAGTTTGTGAGTTTCTGTGAGATTGTAACGCCTTTATTACTCTTCTCTTGATTTAGTTGACAATCTCGCCTATCCTCGTCCCCGGTGCGTAGGCAATATGGCCGAGATCGGCTCGTTTTTCGTTTTTGGCAGGAGGCGGCGGTTAACGGGCAACCCTTCAAACCTTTTCTTTAAGACCACCAAAGGACCGCTCACAACTATACTCCTTAGAATAGCTTTGTGAATACCTTATTTGCGACTTAGATTTTGTTTTATTGAATACGAGTAGATCTGGCGGTTATGTCTTGTATTTTGGAGTGGCACAGAAGCAAGCA